TGGTGCTTCTTAAAAAAATTTTTAAGCGATTAAGTGCTGAAAATGTTCTTCCCGGAGTGAAAGAGGTAACTGGTAACGTGGCGAATAATTGTATAAGTATTTTAATGTTAGGTCGAAGATTGGTGCGATGAGAGAGTGAATCAAGAGCAGAATTCGGTTTTGGAATAGTATTTTGACTCTATTGTTGCCTCCATATGAACAGGTCAGCTCTAATTGTAGATGAAGTATCATCATGGAGATCTTGGACATATGTTTTAGCAGCTTTTATAATATTTTTATCGTCGTACATATTTAAATTGGCCGGAATAAGTCCTTCAAGTGGCATAACATCAATAAGCCTTTGATTAAAACGAGCATCCATTGATTCTATTAAATATTCAAGATACATTATACATATAAACACGGCCCATGGGGGGGGACTATATCGCCCTTAGCCCCCCTTGGCTACGCCACTGCTTTCGATGTCTAAACTCCGTTTAAAACTCGGACCGTTCCGACGCACTCGTTTCGATCGCACCCGGACGATCCGGTGACTCGTTGCGCGGACACCGCGCGATGGCGCGACACGATTGTTACGGTGCATTACCAGATGGGTACGAAAAGGATTTATGATTTATGTCGGACTCGAAACGAAAAACGTTCAATCGTGTGTCCCCCGCGGATCGCGTCTCGAGTGCGTACAGTGCTTCACGTGCACGCTCGGCCCCCTTTGTCCTTGCCAGCCAACACTTTCGTCTATTCAATGCTCCCGGATCCTTCGGCCGCGGAGGAATTAACTCTACGCTATCCAATTATTATTATTATTATTATTATTATTATTATTATTATTATTATTATTATTATTGAAGTTCCTCGAACCGTAATAAAAAAACGAGAACAAACGATCATTCCACAGCAAACATTTTACGCGGGTTAGTATCGATAACACTCGTTCATATTGTAATAAAAATACACGCGTATAATTACAGTAACCCATTCAACTTGGCGACAAAACTGTCAAAAGAAAGACCTTTTATAAAGTTGCCGGTTAAACGGGCTTCTTATTTTTTTTTTTTTGCTTTCATTACATCCCGTTTGACGTCAGTATTACTTGTTCGCCGGCATGCACATCATAGAGTTCGACGAGTTACTCCGTGCTTTCAAGAGTGTACTTGCTACAGGGTTGGAGTACAATATTATGTACATAGGGTGTCTAGCCCTTGTGTGTCCTTTCGTGCGTGTTCGACGGGATATTTGTACACAGACAATGCCACTACGCGATCCGAACTCGTATAAACGGAACTATGAACAAAGAGGCCGTAAGACACGTATATTATGATATCTTGTTCATAAAGAGTCAGTTCAAGGGTTACGTATGGACAACTAAACGCGGTTTCGTCGTCGCGTTTGGGCGAGTTGGCGGACTTCTCGTCCTGCAGAATTTCCTCGACCGATACACGACGTTCGGTGTAGGAAAGGAAAGAAAATAAAAAAATAATGTTCTGACCTGTCAGTAAATTATACGTGATTGCCTCACACGTCCGTGTTGGTGTACAGTGTCATTGCAACATTACGTTACAGTTCGATTTACTGCTACGTTAGCAACGTTACGTGTAATCGGCTATGTATATCGAACTCGGTGTATTGAAATTGATGATAAAAATGTAGTTTGTTATTTATAATGCAAACGATGCGCGAGTGTCCGTTGATTTCGAAAATAAGAATCCACCGAATAATTTACTCCGCGGTATGTAATGGAATAGCGCGCTGAAGGTTGTCAGGATATGATAATTTTTGCTACTTGAGTACTTACTGCAGTATTCATCACGTATAGATGTAGTGATAAATCTCACTGTTGGAAAAAACTTAAACGCGCCATTGATTTTTCCAATCCTAACACGCTGAGGAATGCGAATATTTTACTTGAAAAAATATATACAATAATAGACGATCTAAAGAAAAACGCCAAGAATGCACTGTTATACCGTAACAGCATGATGAATACCGTTTGACCGAAATCGACCACGATCTACACACATACACACACACAGACATGTATTAAAAACGTAAAAAATACACTTACACTTTGCGGGGAACACGCGAACGAGTACTGGTAACCGATCTGCTTGGACTCGGTCTGGTACGCTTGTCGCTTCAGTAGATAGGCGACCGAACCCTTAGGACAGTGGCAATGGACTGTTTGCAGCGTCCCGTTGCCTTCGCTGCGTAACGTCCACGCCATGTCGCGGAAGTAACGGCATTTGGGCAACATCTTGATGGGCTCGCACAACTATCGGGGATGAAGAAAATTGAAAAAAAATAAAAATAAAATAAATTATCATCACATTAATATATTAAAAACATTGCAGGTATAATTATGTGTCCAAACAAACCGTACATAATACTTGTACGTATAGGTACATAATATATTAATGATTTCGTTGAACAAATACCGTTTCGAACCGTGCACGGGCGTAATACGTTTTAAGACGGTAATTGTGTTTCACGGATTTTATAAAGTTTTGATTTCTTTTTCTTTTTTTTTTTAACTTTTCTCTATCGGAGATGAGAATGTAATGGTTTTATAATGTCTCGTCTGGTATTTTTCTTTTCGCCCGTAGTAAACGCTTTTCATGGCCGAGGTACCAAATCGTTATCTAATTTCACCGAGACATCGTCTAGTGATGAGATACTGTATGGTGTTCTATAGTACATTTCATTACGATTCAGTTGAAAACATTATTCGATAAGAATAAAAAAAAAAAAAAAACGCGCTTCGTAAGAGAACGCGAAGACACTTTTGGTCCACAAAAACACGTCGTGCAGGTATGTACTTGAATGTGTTGACATGCCGTTTCGAGATGGTGCCTACACCGCAACGTATCAGAAATGTAAAAAATGAAAACCCTCGATTCAGTTGCGGTTCGTTTGACAATATTTTCGAAACCAACAAAAACCTTGTGTTGCCAAGTTTCCACGAAAAGAGGAGACCATGTCCGACGCGTACCGAGAGTTTCGAAAAGCTAAAGATATCCTAAAACCCGCGGTGGTCGCCTCGGAAACTATTTCTTTTTCGAAAAACCAAAAACGCACACCGTCCGCTCCTGTGGTGTTCGAGCAGCCGATTACCGTCGCACCGATCGTAGCCGGAGAAACACGCGGTACGACGGACGTCCGCGGTTTCGAACGCCCCTCCCCTCCAATGACGTAACTTAATGATAAAGAGCCCATGTGAACATTTCCAGGCTAGGGCCCTTATTATTATTATTATTATTATAATAAAACGAATAATTTAGTATGTGTATATTACAGACTGTAGTAGAAATATCGCAAGGGATAAACGTAGTATCAAAGGAGATCTTGGGGCCCCTGTGAATCGTATACCCAACACTCCCAATAATTGCGCCACTACCCCCCCCCCCCGCTCCATCTCTCGCGTACCGAGGGATCCCGTGCACGAGTCGCGTAACCGGTCGAATAATAGGCGAACGACGACCGACGTGTCCGCGCGCAATCGTATTGCGTTCGATCCGCCCGCACATCTTTGACGCGGTCGCAGGAATCCCATTGAAATCAAAACGATCGATCACGCGGACGTTTGCAGACATATCGGTTCATACTCGTTCGTTCCGTCGACCGGTTGTGTACAACAATACGACCTAAACCTCCGACAAACTAACCTAACGGTTGGAAGCATTTTTTTTATTTTTTATGTTAATCCGGACAGCGGCTCGAGACCGTCGCGCAACTATGTTATTCTATCAATTATCAATATTATAACTATCTATTCCATTTTTTACCTTGAACTGCCTCGTTTTATCGGTGATGGTGTGCCCGTCAGCGGGCGACAGCATTTGCGAGCACGGCGGCACGCCCGGTGGACACCTGCACTGCCTCTCCACCCACGGCCATTGATACATGTCTACCTTGCTGCACACCGCCCACTTTTCGCACACCGGCAACTCTTCCTCCGAGTTCTGAAAATATAATAAAACCGTAAATACGATTACTACACGTGCCATGTGTACAGATAGACGCGCGTGCGTCGAATTACGAAACGCTACGTAACGTCGTAAAAAAAAAAAAAAAATCACATTGGTAATAGTAAAATTAGTGGACTAGTACGCCCACTTCGTGCGAGGAACATGACGCGTGTCTTATGAAACCGTTCCGATGTGTGTCGTACGCGCACGGAAAATGTACAAATCAGTCGCTACTAGTGCGTCCGAGATTCACGTCGAAGGGAACCGACGGCGCGTCTAGGGTGGCTTAACCTTACCCCTGAAACCGAAATCTAATAATAAGTCGTTTATGTGACGAGTAAGGAAACAAAAATCTTGAACATTTGATTGCGAAACCTATGCACGACGGGTTATGTTACGACGGATACGCTGCCGCCGGACGAGACAACCACGTCAAAATCGCTGCAGTCATCGCGGAACGTAAAAAAAAAAAATCAAAAACTATTACTTAGACGTAAATAATACGGAAAATTTGGATAAACGAACGCTTGTGCGGACTCCGTTTAGAACCATAGCCACGGGATATTTGCGTGTCAAATTTGTGTTCCGGACGTTCGATATATAATTAAAACACTATCCGATCGTTAACCGTCATTACTGAAGTTTTTCATTAAATTCGGTCGTCGAACCATTAATATTTACAATAAAATTTACTGTTCCCTGGTTAGTGTTCCGATTTTGACAAAAAGTCAAAATATTTCCCAAATATCTACATTCGAAAATTATACGTCCTGCGACGCAATTTGATCGTGTCCATGAGGGAGGATACGCGATTTCAACTATTTTTAAACATTTTAAAGGCGTATAAATGTATATTATTTACATCGACGATCGATATCAATTATATATATAATTATTATAATTGTATACGCGTAGAAAGTTATTGACGTTCATAGTCGCCCAACGATAACGTAACATTTGATCGCCGAGTGACGGATTTTTGTTCCACAACACGTTACAATAGTAATACCGCGTATTCGTACTAAATATTTCTACAAAACATATTGCAGCAGCGTAAACGAATAAATACGTAAAAAGTGATACGCCGGAAATATAAAAACAGGTCATTGGGAGGACACGACATCCAAACACCCAAGTCCCACCTCTCCTAGTTTTGTCACTGCATATCAACGTGATAAACAAACAGAACAAAAACATCGCGTTGAGCAACAGGTGTGCAACCGTGCAAATGCACATCGTCGACTAGTGGGTAGATTGTTTCCACGGCCCGCGGGTGAACGTGGATATTGTAATAACACGTAATGCAATAATATTACACACGGTAGATTATTGTGCCGGGGAATCGTGGGGCGTGTGGTAAGGACCAAAAAAAAAAAAAAGATTTTTTTTTTTACTACCGCACTCGCCATCCTTATTACACTTTTCGGTCGAGAAGTTGACGTCCGAATTGTTCGCATAGACTTACACGCAGGTAATAAAGGATCATCTTGATGATCGTACACATATTTATAGGGTTCATCGTTTATCGATACGTTACGAAGTGTACAGCTCGGTATTGCAAGGTTAATGACGCTGATAATTTGACAATACCACAATTTCGTTTTGATTAAATGATCGAGGCGCAGGATGATTTGTTTGTAAATTTCAACGTAACATAAAACAAGGGATACAACAATCTTCTTCACGTTAAAAGTTGAATTCGATACACGTAGCGTTGGCGGCTACTACAACACGGCTGTTGGGCTGCTGTTCGGGCAACATGAACGAGAACTCTAATCTGTTCGGACGACCCTGGTGTCACCAACGTAGAACGGGGAAACATATCCTGGAAGTCGACCAGTATTCCGAAGGAACGTTATCAGGACGGCCAGATATCGAGAGTTTGTTTCGTACGTTGTTTTTTTGGCGGCAACGTCGGTATACGGTTTTGTGTAAAAAATCACGATAAATGTTTTCAACATATGGTAAAATGGTCTAGGTTTTCAAAATGGCCTCTCGTTTTGGCGGCCGTTCGAAATTAATACGTTTTCCCTCCGGTCGTTCCGTAATAACGGAGTGGCGATATAAACCGCAAACAAAGCATCAACGTTTTCACGCCCGCAACGGAAGGCGTCCGAATCGTTCATTTTTATTTTTTATTTTTATTCCAAGAAACGCTCGTTTGCGGCAATGTAACAGAAGAATCATCCGACCGCTGCTTATCTTTTTTATCGCAATTTTTATTTAAAGATTTTATTATTTTTTTGTATACATATATTTTTTTTTAATTCGAAACGATCGTAATGATCAGACGACAAGAAACTATACGTCTAAAACGTTATTATGAATGAGCGTCAACGAAATGATTAATGTACGGAACAAAAGTAAAAGTGAATCTAACAACGCGTGTTTACATAATTCATTCCTCGGTGCTGTTTGCGATTTTAAAGTAGGATGTGGATAGCTCTTTAAATCTCAAACTCGCTGTTCGTCGATCGTTCCGACGGAATATCAATCATCGTGTTACACGTTTTTAATTTTTTTCTTTCTTCCGTCCAAACCTTTGTTCCCGAACGTTTTCTCGATCCTTTCGCAATCGGGGCGTCTTCGGTGCGGTGCAGAGAACACTTCGATACGCGCACCGATGACGGTGTTTAATCTCAATATTATGCACGTACACATTGCGTTCCGTCCGCGACGCGATTTATCATCGAAATCGTTATCGTTCGGACATCCGTCGCAAAACACGTGTAAATAAAAACAACGATTACGTGTCCGACACACGTGTCATTATTGTTAATTTAGTTTTCGCTGTTATTGTCGATATCATTACGTGCACACGAGTGGAATGACGTTCATGCCGTTGCTATACATCATTGTTATTGCGCACCACTTGTTTCCGCCGTGTTCGGTCATAATCGTCGTTGTCGCGCGCGCGCTCGAACGTACGAATGATTTCGAATTCGGTCACACCCGACACGACCTGTCCGATCTGGATGGCGTTTACGTCCGACTTCGCATCGGACGCGTTCGCCGCACTATTTGAAAAAGAATAAAAAACGAATCGTTTCGTTTTTCATCGGGTTCGCGTCTGAAACGGGTGTGATACGAACAACACGAAGGCGATTCGGATTTACACCGCGACCTACGTGCAAATCCGATAATCGCAATACGATGCGTCCGGTCCGATACGATTTCGTCATCCGATGTTGCGGCGAACGTGAGATCGCAACAACGGAGAACGATCGTGTCGGCGGTTTTGTAACAAGGTAATAATGTTAAATAATAGGTACGTAATACCCGTACCATATGTGATCAAAAACAAACCGTTTTGTTTTCCGACGCACACGACTAAACCGGTCAGATCGCGTTGGTCACGTTGGACATTCCTGTTAGTTTCCGGCAATATTTAAAATTCGTATTCATCGTGTCGTACTGCGATTATCAACATTATATAGAACTGCAGATCCAATACGAGTCACGATTCGCTGGGATGCAGGGCCGCGTTTAAGGGGGCTAAGGGGGCATTAGGGTTTATTAGCCTTGGGGCTAAACTAACTATTTAACAAAGCCAAATATTATGATACATTAATAATTATAATAGAATACCTTCAACCGTCGCTGATAAATATGATTAGTTAATGGTTAATATGGATACCTATTTCATATATTTTTTTTTGTTGTTGTTAATTATATACGTGTATGCCTAAATTTTTAAAACGGTTTCAAATTGAAATTGATACCAATAATGTAACTGTTTAACATTTGTCATTATTGTGAAAAAAAATGATTTACTTAAGAGGGACTCAAAGATATATTCTGTTATTTGAAATTTTACTGAGATTTAAAAAACAACTAACCGCGTTCTTGAACCTCCATTAGCAACCCCTCCCTTGGTGAGTGATAAAACCCGGCCACCGTTGGGATGTCGTTGCGCGTAACCGATATTTTACACGATGTGCAACATCGGGACGCAAAAGCGCACCGGTAACGGGATACAATCGGCGTTCATCGGCGCACGCGGCAAACGATAGTAGTACGTTACGTCATCGCGTTGCACTCGTTTCGCTCCGGGTCAACCGTCGTCGGCGTTGCGATTCCCGCGTTTTAACCACGCGCGCGACGTCCGCACGATTTCCGTGGGCGTCGATCACCGCCCATACACGAACGTCCGTTGAATTAACGCCGGACGAACGCGACAAGCTGCAATTCAAATCGCGACACCGTTTGATTCGCGATCGTGTCGTACCGCGCCGTTTCCGTCGGTTGAACCGCATTCGTACGTTTAGCGGTTTTCCGCGCGGTCGACCGATCGCGTTCGAATGTGAACGTGGGCGTGTACAACAACGCGCCGGACGACTAGAAATTGGTTTGGCACCGGTTCAACTATTCGCATCTGCCCGCGTCGGGACACGAAATGCGTGCGAGACGGTCGGGAAAAACTTATTGGAGGAGAAAAAAAAACCGAAAAATCAAAGAGTATCGAGCATACGAGCGGTGGTACGCGTACCCGCCTATGGCGTACTCGAAGGGGGGTGTGTTGGGGGCGATTGCCCTCCCCCGGTTGCCCAAGTTATTTGCATATATCATAAATTTACGTTAAGAAAATATTGCATTTTAAACCTTAGCTTTATTGTATTTTATTTACCTTTCTCAAGACGTGTGCAATATGTGAAAGATGTTAGTACCGCCCCCCCCCCCCCCGTAAAATGAAGTCAAATACGCCACTGGTACCCGTGATCGCAGCACAGCGGCCCAATTAGAAGGGGCGATGTACGATTGGCAACGGGGACAAGAGTGGAAAGAAAATCGACTGATCGACGGTCACGCGACCGACAATCGAGTACGTCGGTCGGACTATTTTGAACCTAAGACGCGTCGTGTACCGACACCGTTTTATGAGCGCACAAGTGTTTTCAATTTTCATACTTCCGTTTTTCCCATCGGAACGCTGGAGAAACGACGATCGATTTCAGCACGGCTGTAAAGATCAACGCACGTATCGCGGCGGTTTT